CCCATTCATTCATAAACTGAAGCATACTAAATATGGTTTACTATGTTTCAGTTATGAATGGATGGATGGAGTCCGTAACACAGGGGGGCTGGAGAACACGTGGGGGGCAGCAGAAAGAAACTGGATAGGAGGAATGGTGGGGTCAGCTGCATATAGAGGAATCAAACTCTCCATTTTCCTCCTGTAGCTTCTGACTGCCTGCTTCTCCTCCTCTCCCTCCCATAGGCATACAGCGACTGCAAGAGGAAAATGGAGAGATTGATTCCTCCAAATGCAGCCGCCTCCATCGCTCCTCTTATCCAGATGTACAGGTGGGCCACACGGGCCCCCTGCAGCATGGGGCTGGGTTGCAATTGTGAACCCTGTAGGTACTCCCGCCCTGAAGTGAGTGGAAATATGGGAGCTTCAACGCCCTGAAGTGAGTGGAAATAGGAGAGGTTTGGGAGCTCATGGAGGTCTTTACAAGGAAGCAGAAAAACAGGGAAAAAAAAAAAAAAAAAAAAAAAAAAAAAAAGCAATCTAATGAAAAATAGATTACAGGGCCATTAAGTAGTGGAGTATTTTTGGAAAAGGATATCAGTTAGTGTCACTTTAAAGCATTCATTCATTTGCCTTCGTGCAGCTGTGGTTGGTAGCTGCAGTGGTGAACGCATGGCCACACTTTCATAAACAGTTTGTGTACATTGCAGCGCAGGCTTTATACAAAAGGCTGGAAAGAAAGACAATTTAACGGAATTACAGCTGGTTGTTGCAAACAAACAAAGAATTGAGGATACAGATTGTCAATCTCTGGAAAGCCTGGCCTTCTCAACCAAAGCCTGCTGAAAGCAAACTAATCCGCAAAAGAAGAAAATTCTATGCAGTGCTTCCACCTAGTGGTGGATATTAGAATTACATGCATTCTTCTATAGGAGTACTACAGCTAAGCCAGTGTTTCTCAACTCCAGTCCTCATGGACCCCCAACAGGTCATGTTTTCAGGATTTCCCTCAGATGAAACAGCTGTGGTAATTACTAAGGCAGTGAAACTGATCAAATCACCTGTGCAAAATAATGGAAATCCTGAAAACATGACCTGTTGGGGGTCCATGAGGACTGGAATTGAGAAACACTGAGCTAAGCCAACATTTATTTATTTATTTATTACAGGTACTTATATAGTGCACAGGGGCGGACTGACCATTTGGAAACTCGGGCACTACCTGAGGGCCCGGGGTCAGTAGGGGGCCCCTTGAGATGGCCCTGGTACCTTTTTCATAGGCTTTTTTGAGTTTGGGCAAGGACACAGGGGCCCCATGATCCCCTATTGCCCGGGGGACCCATGAGTTGTCAGTCCGCCCCTGATAGTGCAGTCAGTTTACGCAGCACTTTATTTATATATATATATATAGTACATTCACATCAGTCCCTAACCCTCAAGGGGTGTATAATCTAAGGTTCTAAGGTCCCAAACTCACATTCATACATACACATACTAGGGAAAATTTAGACAGGTTCCAATTAACCTACCAGCATGTCTTTGGAGTGTGGGAGGAAATTGGAGTACCCGGAGGAAACCCACGCAGGCACAGGGAGAACATGCAAACTCCAAGCAGGTGGTGCTGTGGTTGGGATTCGAACCATCGACCCGAGTACTTACACCTTAGTGTTTTATCACATGATCCCTAATGAGCGACAATGCTCAAGATGAAGAATCTCATTATTGTCAATGAGTCCATTCACACCTGAATGTTTTTTCACATGATTCCAAAACAGCGATATTGCTCATGATGAAGAATCCTATTATTCTCAATGGGTCCGTTCACACCTGAGCACTGAGTCGCTTGTTGCCTGTGGTGTAAAGTTTGAAAAAAGTCCATGAGCTTCTTTGAGGCAGAGTTGCACATTTTTGCCCATGCAGACTTTATTGCCTACATAGCTTCCCATTTTAAAAATCGCCAGCGACAGCCGTCCTTCATTCACCTCTACATATTGCAGAAGGAAAGGGAATTGTAGCAAAGCACACCAACCTGAAGCTGGAAGTAGCAAGAGATCACCTCTTAGTGAGAAATTGCCTCTTGCTATTAAATCTCTGTATTCGGGTCGGTGGCATTAGTGAATGACAGTAGCAACTGTGTGAGGAGCTCTGTACTGTGGATGGGGGGGGGTAATTCTGAATTGTGTTGGGGGTCTGCACTGTGATGGGGAGCTCTATAATGTATATGTTTGGGGGGGACGATCTGTACTGTGATGGGGAGCTCTATACTGTGGGGGCTCTGTACAATGGGGTTCTCTGAACTGTGATGGGGAGCGCAAACCTGTGTGGAGGAGCTCTGTACTGTGATGGGGGGGCTCTTTACCTTTGAAAGGGAGCTCTATACTGTGTGTGGGGGGGGGGCTTTGTACTATAAGGTGCTTTGAACTGTGCTAGGGAACTCAAACCTGTGTGGAGGAGCTCTGTACTGTGATGGGGGGCTCTGTACCTCTGATGGGGAGCTCTATACTGTGTGTTGGTGGCTCTGTACTGTGAGGGGGCTCTGTACTATGGGGTGCTTTGAACTGTGATAGGGAGCTCAAACCTATGTGGAGGAGCTCTGTACTGTGTGGGGGGCTCTGTACCTCTGATGGGGAGCTCTATACTGTGTGTTGGGGGGCTCTGTACTGTGAGGGGGCTCTGTACTATGGGGTGCTCTGAACTGTGATAGGGAGCTCAAACCTGTGTGGAGGAGCTCTGTACTGTGTGGGGGGCTCTGTACCTCTGATGGGGAGCTCTGTACTATGGGGGGCTCTGAACTGTGATAAGGAGCTCAAACCTGTGTGGAGGAGCTCTGTACTGTGTGTGTTTGTGTGTGGGGGGGGGGGGGGGGCTCAGTACCTCTGACTGGGAGCTCTATACTGTGTGTGGGACCTCTGCACTATGGGGTGCTATGAACTGTGATGGGAATCTCAAACCTGTGGAGAGGAGTTCTGTACTGTGTGGAAGGGCTTGGTACCTCTGATGGGGAGCTCTATACTGTGTGTGGGGGGATCTGTACTATGGGGTGCTCTGAACTGTGTTAGGGAGCTCAAACCTGTGCAGGGGGCTCTGTACTGTGATGGGGAGCTCTATACTGTGTGTGTGTGGGGGAGGGTGTTCTGTACTGTTTGATAGGTTCTGTACTGTGGGGTGTTCTGCATTGTGATGGGGAGCTCCAACCTCTGTGGGGTGCTCTGTACTGTAACTGGGAGCTTTACTACTTTACAGGGGAGCTCAGTACTGCAGGGGAGGTAGGTAGGAGAGAAAGTTTTGTATTGTGAAGTGACCTCTGTATTGGGGGAGAGCTCTGTACTGTGTAGAAGAGGGTGCAGCGTGGGTCAATAGAGCTTAGGAACCTGTGACAGGCATTCATCAAGCATGCTAACTATGCCCAACCTTTCCATGCCCCCTCCATTAAGAGAAGGTATACTATGATCTCTTCTCTGAATGAAAAGAGCTCTATGAATGGAGGATAGTTGGAAGAATTAAAGGGCCACCTCCTCTATTCATAGATCATTTTTCATTCGTAGTACTGCTTCTATGAATGGAAAAGATTGGTGGAAAGGATGGGTATAGTCCGGCAATCTTGATGAGTGCCATCTCTATTAACCACAATTGCATCAGAAGATTATAGTGGCAGTGGTAGGTTGGGTTGGAGGGATTGATGGAGAAAGATTTCAATGCATGCAGGAGCAAGCAGCGCAAGGGATATACTAACCCAATAGTCCCTTGTGCTTTCTTTTTTTTTTCTTTATAATTTTGACTAAACATAGTCTTTAACATAACCACTGTAGTATAACACATAATCTGTCCTCGTTGGAAACATACTATGCTTACCCTCTAAGTGGCTGCAAAGTAGGTCATGTGCCTAATAACATGAAGTTGAACCCCCACTTGTCTTGTTTGGATAAACATTCCACCACTTAGAATCCATAATCGGACAATTTGTCTCATTAGATAATAACATCATGGTTTTAAGGCAATAATAAAAACACATCTGCTACAACCGCTACTCTATAAAGGGCAATTAGCCCAATCTGATCTGTGTGCATTGGAGTCTACAGCACAGTGTTTGTCTGTTTACGGGACGGATTGGATCCCATGTAAACATCATGAAGTGTTTATACCTAGGGGAACATTCATTCCCGCTGATTTGGAAGCAATGATTGGGATAACTTCAGGAAACTGGTTTTCTTTTTCTTTTTTTGTTTCTAAGACCTAAACAAGGTAATCAGCTGAATCTTCATTGCACTTCTCTACACAAACCACATGCTGTGAGTCTTTGAAAGTGGGCGATACGACGGATTACTGGAAAGACAATTTCACAAGTCCAGATGATATAAAGGGAACCTGTCAAGAGATATAGTATAAAGTGGAAGTGCAATAAAAAAAATCTTGTCATCTGTGCCCATGTGATGCATACGATTAAAGCAGGGGCGGACCGACCATTTGGAAACTCGGGCACTGCCCGAGGGCCCAGGGTCAGTAGGGGCCCCCATGAGATGCCCCTGATACCTTTTTCATAGGCTTTATTGAGATTGGGCAAGGACACAGGGGCCCCATGATCCCCTATTGCCCGGGGGCCCCATGAGTTGTCAGTCCGCCCCGGATTAAAGTAGAGGTAAACTTGAACTAAATTGCCCTTCCCTTGTACAAGGCTGTGTAGAAGAGCAGAGGATGTTCCTCTAAATATGATAACGTGTGGTCCATGGGGTTGGAGAACTCTGATACTGTGGTTCTGCCTTGACTTTTTTTGTTGATGATAATTGGGCGGTTGGGCAGTGCCCTAGGCATTTTGATCCTTCTCAGTCCAACTTGACCTCTCCTTTCATATTTTGCTGCTACTAGATCTCATCTTGCTGTCTATTACTACTTATCTTCCACTGTTGCATGGCCAGGAAATTGCTCCTTTTGGTTGCATTGTGTTATATGAGTAAGTGCTTCTGACCATAATCTACTGTCACATCCTAAGCTTTAAAGGACACTTGGAAGTCCTACACATACAGTAGTCTTTAATCCTGTGGAGGACATAGAGGTGATGCAGGAGGGGTGGAGTCAGGGATGGACTGACAACTCATGGGGCCCCCGGGCAATAGGGGATCATAGGGCCCCTGTGTCCTTGCCCAAACTCAAAAAAGTCGTCTATGAAAAAGGTACCAGTGGCATCTCATGGGGCCCCCTACTGACCCCTGGTCCTCGGGCAGTGCCCGAGTTTCCAAATGGTCAGTCCGCCCCTGGGTGGAGTACAGCTAGTTTGTTAGTCTGTCTATTGTTTTCTGTGTCTTATGAACATTGATTCCTTGTGTCTTCTATTTTGCGAAACTCAATAAAATAGAATTTATAAAAAAAAAAAAAAAAAACAATGTTACCAATGACATTTAGGGCACATTTCCACCAGGTGTAGTGGGGGACTGTGTTGGGCATCTATTTAAACAGAGAAATGCCTTGTCTCCTATTTGCCTGGTGAACACCACCTAATTTCTGTGGTGTTCACTGAAAAAAGAACACAGCAGTCCATTGCCTCGCACAGCATGGTTGTAGGTACTATTTAATGAAATGTCACTGTGTGATATTTCAATAAAGTTGAGTAAAAAAGTGAACAATGCGATGTGCTGCATCACAACTGCATCGCACACCAGCTGCTGAATTTTAAAGTGGTAGCTGATATGAATAGAGCCTTAGTGGGCCATTTACTACTCCACACCGCAACCTGCACTTTGTGACCCATTCATAAAATGCAGGCTGCAGTATGTATCCTGTAGTGTCCTACAAAGTTCTCTCTGCGCAAAAGAGAACTATGGCCAATTTTTTTGGCCATACTTCTCTTATGAGTCACAGGAGTGCACTTACTTTTGCTCTCCTGTGACCCAGAATCAGCTCACTGCCATCTATAGTCCGCTGTCAGCTGACATATTAGAGCAGCTCCAGGCTCTGGAAAGATGACGATAATTTTGCAGAATCAATCCAGCTGCCTGATTGACAGGTGGCTTCACCTCACATCACATGGCAGAGAGATGCAGCAGCTGCACCCACCGCCTCTCCTGCCCAGCCCTCCAGTGAGCGTTGGAGAAGCAGGGTGGAGAGAGGTGACTGACAGTCACCACTCTCTGCTTTGAACAGACCGAGAACTGAGTGATCAACAGTCATGTTATGTTATCTCTCAGTTCCTGGTATTAGAGCTAACGAGGGACAGCTGCAGCATAGAGGTGAGTAAATATTTTTTTTTAGACCCCAAACTTATCCTTTAATGCACAAGACAGAACTCCATGTTTGGAGGCCAGATGGTCTTGAGTTTGACAATTGTAAAAATACTATTATTATTAGCATTATTATACAGTATTTATAAAGCGCCAATAGTTCGCTCAGTGCTGTACATTACAAAGGGGGACAGAACATGAGACAGAACAGTAACAATACAATGCGATACACGAGGGGTTCGAGGGCCCTGCCCTTTCGAGCTTACAATCTAGGAATCACTTATACTATCAATACTTACTGGTGGTAAATATACTTTAACATTGAAAATATGGTAAGATAAAAGCTTTGGCACCCATTTTATCATTAAGCAGATTTTAGGGGTCAAAAAACTTCAACTAAAATGTGTGCACCAAATTAAAATGATCTCACATGTGACATGTGAAGTGAAGGCATCAGTTAGCAGATATGACAGTGACCTGGGGGATATAGGAGGGAGCAGAGTCAAGGCGATCAAGTGCTCCTGTAGTGAGGGCCTCCATTGCACCCCAGTGGAGCTGAGAAGAAGTAAAAAGTGAACTTGCACATTGTGTGGCATTGGTGTCCAACAGAGATGGTAAAAGATGGAATAAAGTGTTCCACACGGAAGACCTCTACGGTCTACAGTATGTCTACCATGAAGGTGCACTACTTCCACTATTATACCCATGATATCCAATGTGAGTAGATGGAGGTACTGAATCAGTTGCAGCTATTGGAGTTTTACCTCTCTGGTTCAAAATCTTGGGTAAGTATAACTGAGACAGGTCCTGAGGTGTAACCAATTGAGGCTTGTTTGAGTAACACTACTAAAAATATCATAAGAACCTTTTTCTAGAAAAAAAAAGTCTTCTTTAATTTTCTAAAAATAGCCATAATTAAGTGCCCCTTTAACCAGGACTCATAAAGAAGGTATTGTTGACATTTTAGACTTGTTATGTCTATGCTTAAAAAGTCTTCATATAGTTAATCTGAGTCTTTGGGATCTGCCCCTTCAAAAATATCCTGATGAAGGGGACACCTTCTGGTCCCTGAAATGAGTTGAATTTTGGCTTGTTCTAACACAATAAAGCAGACTTTTTCTACTTGAAGCTTCTCCTGATATTCCTTGTGGCGCCTATCACACAGACCTCAGTATTGTATCCATGGCAGTTCCACTTTTTTTTACAGTGAGGCCAGTGGCCAGGTTGCTGTGTGTGGCCACCATTCCTGTAATGACAGATTATTTCAATTTCCTGCTGTGATATTGCACTTTAGTACTGTGATGAGCTCCTCTGGAATGACTCATATGGACCTTGGCTGTGAGATGTTGAGAGTTCACTGTGTTGGCGACTGAGCTCTAAGAAACAGATTGATTTATGGGCTGAAAACAATTTTTCTTTTCTGATGGTCTGTCTGGCCTGTGATAGATGGAAATGGATTTCAGTGATCGCACATTCTCATCAAATACACTCATCCTCTTCATCCACCATTGTCCCTGGGGAAGGGTTCATTCACTAAATGTGTAACATGCTGGGTTAACCTGGATTCCATTACAATAGGATTAGGACATGATTCACCGATATAAAGGAACATTTTCCTGTCTGTAATTCATCTATTGCAGCATGAGAAGCAGATCGTGTTTTAAATTGAGTCATTCGATACTATCTTCAGTTCTATCTAGATGACATTAGACTATTACTTACAACAAATGTATAGATATTTTTGGTTTTCAAAAGGTTGTTATATGGGATAAACCCTTCATTGGACAGGTTCCCCCATTTCCAGTGTGTTTAAATGTTTTTAGTTACAATATGTTTGTTTGTTTTTATTTATTTAAAAAATTTAAGGTGAACAACATTATCTGTCCCCTGCATTATTATCCAAATGTTGTTGGAGAAGGATGAGGAAGGGAAGAGAGTTTTGGAGTTGGACCGACACGGACCTCACTAAACAAGGTTGTACATCAACCCTCAGTACAAGTTAGAGAGAAATTGTCCATTAGAAGTCATTGGAATCTCCCAAGAAATAATGAGAGATCCATGGATTCCATTTTTTTGGTTGTTTATATATTTTGACATCCAAATATTTTTCAGTACTACAGTATACACTGGTCAGGTTTGGTAAACACAATGTACTGGGCTACACAAATAAATTCACATTTGATTCTCAAACACATAAAAAAAATAATATATAAGTGAAAGCCCAAAAAGTTCAAACTTTATAATAAAGTGTAATAATAATATGTGTAATAATATGTGATATAACGTGTAAATTAGTACTCCAAACACCCAAGGGAGAACAGTGCTTTGAATCCCTGATCAGACTGGTCACTGCCACCAGATAGACACACCTGAAGGCTTACCGGAAAAATGACTCTGCTATTAAAGAGAAGTCATACAGCGCTCGCTACAATGATAGCCAATGTTCCTCCAGGCTCCACCCTCTCATCCACCAGATTAGCAGAAATAGGGAAAATGTTGCTTTAAAATGTAATCTCCAATGTTTACTCACATGCAGATTTTACATGTTAAAAAGAGAAAGGACACCACGCACCCCACGTAGTGTAAATTTGCATAAATGTATTCTTAAATGTAATCAGTATACACTCACACGCATAACAAGTAAAACTGTACAGCCAATAATACTATCCAGACCGATCTGAACAACTTTCAGGGACACTTCAAGGAACGTAGAGACATCATGGCATGTAGCTCCGCCCAATGAGTTTCTTCTCTTATAACATCTTCCAGGGCATGGTCACAGGTAAGTAGAATACATTACACATAAATATTATCAAAAGACCTCATTATGTTACAAAACATGTTATAGGTAGTTTTAGTGAAGTACTCTATATGATGTGATGTACAGCTCTGTTCAATTAAATTGCACAACTGGGAGTAGTAGAATGAATGGAGATGAGTTGAATGAGTGTGATTTGGCTTTTAACATTGCATGGGTGTATGTGCTACCCTATTTAGCTATCCAGGGATTCGGGAAATTTTGGAACAGCCCCAGAGAGAAGGCAAGTTAGAGGTTAATGACCAGAGCAGAAAGAGGAAAGAATAGAGGTTAGAAAATTAAGAGCTTAGTTAAGGTTGAAAACAGGAATGAAGGGAGAAAGGGACAGAGCATGAAGACTTCTTTTTCTGCTCAGGGCACAGCTTTGTCTTGGTTAAACAGTGAGCAGGGATATCTTAAGTCATTAGGGAGGTAATGTTGATTTCAGGACAGTCGTGTCTTTCCGAAAATATTGACTGAATTGTGTATTACGGCTGATAAACTTTCATTGAAGTTATTTTCTGCTTAGCTGGTTAAGTCTGTGACGATGAATGAAAAAGCCAAAATTGGGGGAAGGAGCACCCAGAAAGCTTTAGATGGAGCAGACCTTCCAATGGGCTTTTAGGAATGCCCACAGACTTTACAGTGTATATCAATTGATATACTTCTTCCAAAATGTTTTAATTTTTGGCCAATCCCTCCATATATGTAGGAAGGTTCCATTATCCTTACAGTCTTAAAGCAGGCCAGGGAAGCCCCCCCCCCCCCCCCCTTATATTATCTCATTATATTATCTCATTAATAACTTACTAGAAGCCTTAGCAATAGATGTACTTATGAATATGCCAATCTCTTTGTACCTTTGGACTATATACAAAAGGGGCATGAGGGTTTGAGCTTTCATTGTAGGAGCATACTGTGTGTCATGGAAATTACCTTTTGGATTGCGGATCCTCATGGCATATATGTTCAAGGCTGATCATGAATTTGGGGAACTCAGGCTTCTAAAAAGCAGATAAAATATAGTTGTTTTTTTTTAGTTAAGAGCAGCAGAAAAATTCAGCAGATGATATGTTGTGAGAGGACTGTAGAGTTTCTCAAGACATAATATCCTTCAAGGTGTGGTTTTCCACCTTCTGTGTTTGGTTGAATTCCATAGTTTCGAGTGGAAATTAATGAGATAATTTTTGCTGGCATATTTAGTGTTGTCCTAAAATTTTGTGACTATTTCTTGATTGGGTT